GCAACTAAATAGCAGGGGGATGCTTGTATGTATTTATTCTAAAACATCTTTAGGGTGTTCAGTATAAAATAGAAAGAGGCGATGATTTAATCTATGCAAAATAATATGCCACAATGGAAGGAGGATTTTAAATAACAGTGACGTCACTTCCGGATGAAGTCGGGCTGTAGTAAAGAAAAAAAAATCTGGTAGCTATGAATATCTGCTAGCTTGCCACCGACAATTGGTTGGTACACTTGAGTAGATCCATCCATGTCAAGACACAATAGGGATTTCCGTAGTCCTGCGCCACTTGTGAACACATATAGGTGCTCTCCATCCCGGTTACCCGACTGCTGTGAATCGGTAAGTAGGTCGGTTTCAGACGGCCAAGCTAACGGACTAGCTGTAGCATCAACCACCGCTAGCTGGGTAACCTGCTAGCTGCAGTGATGGATGCAGATTTGACTGCTAAATACAGGGGCTGCTGATTATTAATTTGACTTCTTTTGTGTTGTTTTTCTGCTGACCTGACAGAACAGAATAAAACCAGCCCGTTATGTTATGGTTAAACATGTTGCACTAGCATAGCAATGATTAAGTGTTTCTGCTGAGACATGGCTCTATTACCCCTATTTAAAACCTTTTCCAAAGCATCTGATGTCCAGATTATTGCCCTTTGTTCATAACCATCAAAAATATTATTAACTGCTCTATTTGTAGAAATCATGTCTTTAATACAGTCTTTAAATCAGATTCAACTGGGTGGATTGTGGTTTTCTAAGTAGTATTTTTATTTTCTTATAACATTAAACTCGATTATTAGATGAAAGATGATTTATTCCTATTTCCCCTGGTTAAGTACACAGTTCAACTGCAACTAATTATTTTGTTTTCATCAGGACCTGGCTGGCTTGCTAAAGAGACTGCAGGACCTTGGTGCAGTGCTTTGCAACCTAACACCACCTCAACCTTCAACACTAAAGGATCTGTAAATCCAGGTATGTTTATCAGGTATTTTCCTGTTCCATTGGACAAGGTAAACATGATAGTAACGTTTCTAAAATTATTGTAAGTCAACAGAAACAATTCAATCTGATAGTGTGATAACTAGGGCTTAAACAATTAATTGTCATGAATCGATTATTGGATAATAATAAAAATAATCATTGAATAATCAATAATCATTATAAACTGTTGTTTTATTTTATCCAGTCTAGAATGAAACCAGTTAAACATTAACATATTTTTACTGTAAAATTAAAACCTAATCTGTCTTTGCATGAATAAAAATTCAAAATAAATGTAATCTTCTTGAATTAAAGAGAACTAAAAAATATATTTAAAATAGCCTTTTTTATTTCAGTCTTACAACTAAAACTTTTACAGATCAAATTAACACCTCAGTAGTTCAGTGGCGATGCATCTGTAAGCCTGTAGCCTATTTCACTGAATTTATTTTGGGTTGGAAGTTCCCCTGCTGTTCGGAGGATGTGGCGTCAAGCTCGTGCATATTAAAAGCATCTGACTTGGCAAACAATTGAAGCATTATAATCAAGATGGATTTTGTGCATACTAAGAGCGACTGGCATCCAGCTCAATTCAGACACCAATGCAACTCCACATAAGGTGAAAAAAGTAAAAGAATTAGTCAAGTACAAGTTTGAGCTATGAGAATGAGCAGGAAAGTGCTGCATTTCTGTGTTTTCGTCACAAGTGTCAGTCTTATTAGGAAATTCCATAGTGGCTCTTTAAGATAGAAACAAGTTTTTAATTTTTAATAAAAAGTGGATCATAAATGCAGACTGTTAGATGCATTTCATTTAAAATGATTTGTTTTGTTTAATAATTAAACTTTATTGTTCTCTCACTTGAGAAACGTATCTCTGCATTTAATCCATCCCCTTGGAGAGCACTGCCACTGTCTCCAAAGAAAAACATTCACCCTTTTTAAGGAAATTGAAACACTGGATTCTCATACCAAATCTAAGTCTATTTATATTTGCAACATCATTCCGTAAAGAACAGCCCATACTAACAAATAAAAAGCTGTTTTTGAAGGGACGGCACGACCACTAATGAAGTTATTGAAGCAAACACAGAACAGTAGCAAACTCACTGTTTGCACACCTAAGCAAGGAGAGCCACATAGTATTTTAGTTTAACAGTAACAGTGATTGAGAATCAATTTCTCATGCAGCTGTGCAAATGGAACAACAGGTGGAATTAATTGGCAATTAGCACGACATACTGAATAAATGAGTGGTTCTAAACCATGTTTAGACTTCATAGGTCCATGTCTCACGCTGTCAGGGTTACGCTGGTAACTGATGGGTAACCCTTGTGGAGAGTTTGTTTTATTTTGCTGTGCACCTTTTATTTTGGCAGACATCATGTACCTCTCAAATCACTGTAGCCTTAGAAACAATTGCTTTAAAAGAGAAAACACATAAAACCTGAAACCTCAGTTACAAATGCATTAATAACAGAATATAATGTATATTGAAATTTCAAAAATGTCTTATACTTCTTGTTAAATAAAATTATAATGCTTTATGTAGATTTTGAATGCTCCTTTTTAACATTATCAGTCATTTTATACAGGGTTCCCGCGGGTCCTTAAAAAGTCTTAAAAGGCATTGAATTCTTCAAAATAAAACAAAGGCCTTAATTGGTATT